TTCGAATTGATCAAAATATATTTCTAAAATTTAACTATCTAAATTGGTAAAAAATTGGTTAGAATATATGGTCTAAAATTGGTCAAAATATATAGTTCCGACCATTTTGATTGATCAAAACATTTTGACGATTTTATTGGTCCATAATTTTGACCATTTTATTGGTCAAAATATTTTGACTATTTTCTGACGAAATTCTATTTGCGACCATCGATTTTTGACGAATCGATTTTGGTCAAGTACTAGTCAGAAATATCTGTTTTTGACAAATTTTAAATCAAATTGGTAGTCAAAATTGGAATGTTTTCTTGTAGTGAAAATAGTAGTATATCATTAGGTAAAATAGCATGGTATCTTTTTTTTTTTTAAATCTGTAAAACTCTTGTTATTTTTTATGGAACAAAATCAATAACTACGGAGAGAATTCTGGTTACCATGGCATAACAAATTGTATTACAACACTAACAATACCTAAAAGTTAATATCTATTACTAAATAAACATGTTCTAACATTTACATTATCAGTTTACTACACAAACTTCCTCATATGCTAAATATTGAGTTAATTTTATGAAACAAAATAGTCATCGACGTTTTAAAATGAGAAATATTAAATATTGAGTTATCAAAATGAGAAACAATTGCTTCCATATCATATCTATATACTTCGCGGCCGTATAATTTTCAATACGTCTTCATTCAAGTGAGTTCGAACTATAATTTTTAGTTCATGAACTCAGTCAAAGAATCAATTTTCTTATGATTTGTGTAGAATCACATTATGTGAGCTACTTCAGTTGATTTGGTGGTCTATAAACTATTTCAAATGTATCAAGAGCTAGTTCGCAAACTCATTTTTTGTTGAAAGATTTTAATCAAAATAGTACGTAGATATGTTGTAAACATATATGAATACCAACTAAAAAAATTATTTATCTCGTTTATTTAAACGATAATGGAAATTTACATTTCTAATTTTTACGAAATAATTATCTAAACAATGTCGCATTTTAAAAAACGAGTATAATAAACTTAATTTTGAAATACAACTCTTTAGTTCCTGTTATTCAGTTTGTACGTAAAGAATACATAATTTTCGGTGTAATTTTTTACGGTTTTTTATTCTTTAAAAAACATATTTTGTTTTGTACATTTTTTCAGACCGAAAACCAGAACATCTAATATAAACTCATCGTAAGTGCAATTTGAATTATCGATCTCCGGTTTTGAAGCAGTCAAATTTGTTATTAAACTTCTTCCCATTTAGATGATCATATTGCTTGATCTTTAATATTTAATAACTATTTTATTTAGATTCATTTTTTAATTATAATAAATTTTAGAGTGTCTTATATTTTCCTTTCTTTTGAAGATGCTTTAGATTTTTGCATTTTTTAATTAGTTATAATTATGTAATAGTAACACCCGAGTTAACTTATTTTATTTACGATTTAGAGATCTAAAACAAGATTGATATAAGTTAATTTAAATAACATATCAGATATGCTAAATGAGCCCATGAATAATCTAGTTCATTTGTAAGGCATTTTTCTTAGACCCGCGCGTCACATTAATACTATCTTGCCGAGGCCTCGTAAATATCAATATACTCGTAGTTACGTTTTAAGAGATTCTCCTAACTGTATTACCCATGATGTTTTATAATTCCTCTAAATTATATTGCAAATGGTACTATACATATTATCCATACTTATGGGATTTGTTATATCCAAACAAATGTCACATAAAAATTAACAAAATGAAGCCATTTATAATTAAAAACATCTTAAAAAATTTAATAACAAAGCTTGGTGTAAAATCTATTAAAAAATTAAAAGTGGATATAGAGGAAAATAAGAAGTAAATATAACGAAATTAAATATATTACCAA